GGGCGAGGCGACGTCACTGAAGACGAAGGAAGCATGGCATTGGAGCTCGAGGTCTTTGGCAACCCCCGGCCGCCATAGCGAACGGCAGCAGCGTAACCTCCCAACATGCCATTCGGCATGAGATTAGCCGAAGCCGAAGTTGTGCGACTCAACTTCTCAGATCCCATCGCAGCAGCGAGGCCACTAGTGGATGATACACTGCCAGAAAGCGATACTGGAGGCGTTGTTGCCGTGCTCACATCGTCCAGACTCCCCACGGAGCCAGGCCCAGAGGGACCGCTGAATGAGTTCCCACGAGACGAGACCGACCGAGGAGGAGGCACATCTGTACGCGGAACGGCGCGCTTCACCTCGACGGACTTACCATCGATCACGTGGTTCTTGTCCTGCAGCACCAGCTCAACACTGGCTTCACTCTCGAAAATGACAAAACCAAAGCCACGCGACTTGTTCGTCTCGCGGTTGAACATGACTTCAGCCGACACCACCTTGCCATACTGCATAAAATACTTTTTAAAGTCCGCTGCAGAACAAATCACGCCAATGCAAGGTTAGCAAATGCTTGTGATCATCGTACAATATATGGGGGAGACGCACCATCTTTGGTTTCATAATGTAAGCCGCCCACGAAGATTTTTTTCGTGGCGCCGACTGTACTATTGGCGCTGATGCTGGATATTGAACTGCTACCATTGCCACGACTTGACGACGAGCCACTCCCGATGTCGCGCATGCTCTCTGCGCGAGGAACAGCCCGCTTAGCTTCAACCTAAATAGCAGAAGATCGAGTCAGTGAGTTAAACCTGCTCAGGCATGAAAGAATACACAAACCATCACGTACTCTACGGCTGTCTAGGATGTGGTTGGGTTGTGCCAGCGCTCTATCAACACAGGAAGGGTCCGCATATGTAATAAAGCCGAAGCCTCGTGATCGTCTAGAAATCGGGTCCTTCATCACCACGGCGTCGGTCACTGTACCGTACGCGCCGAAGTATGACCGGAGCTTCTCTGAAAAGCATCAGCCAATAGAACACATACGAAGCATTAGAGCATTAGACCCATTGTCTCCTCTCCTTTAGCTGCGTAACTTACCATCGGTCGTCTCGTATGAGAGCCCCCCGATGAATATTTTTCTGAATACACAAACATCGAACACGTGGTCAGTCACTAAGCCCCCTCCTTCTCCCATCGCATTGCTCCATCAGCCACGCTTAGACTGGAGCAGCCTAGATCTTCATCACCACTGTCTGTAGCATGCTTTACTCACCCTAACTTGGTTGTGTCTGCCATCCTCGAGTCGCCTACTGCGCTAAGGGGGGAACCAAGTTCACGTCGGAGAAGTCGGAGAAGACGTACAGGAGCGAGCGCACCTGGTTGTCTCCGTGTGCGGTGCTAGACGCCTTCGCTGTCTTGCTGCGCGGTCTGTAGTTGAAGCCGGAGCAGGTCAGAAGCTTAAGGAATCCTCTCGAATCTCCCTCTCTGACGTGCGCAGATCAGCGGCTATGACGGCGTACCGAGGCGGAGATTAACGTGAGTGCTGGTGCGAGTGTCTGCCTTCACTATGCGGCCTGTTGCGGATGTGGGCGACCGGGTAGTGCCGAGAAGGAGACGCGTGCTGTGCTGCTGTCTTGCGCTGCAAAGCTTCTCGCGTTTTGGATGTCGTTCGGTCGGCGTGTTGGTTTTTGTTTCAGTGCCGGGTCGCTAATGCTACTTTTGTGTTTACGCATCGGAATGTTGGAGTAGAGGAGGCATATGAGTGGTCATTTTTCGTGATATTGTGCTCGGATTGGACAGAAGTTCGTTTGACTTTCAAGTTTCAGGCTTGATAGTTCTGAATTGCCAGGTGTCCGACCTTTGAGGACTAACTAAATGCATTGATCGGGGCACGAGGCGCTAACTGGTTGTAGCCTCCATGGTCACCATGTAAACTTCGTAACTGAGTAAGCTCTATCCTGTCGCCGCTGCTGTGAATCTCGCGACCAGGCTCAAGTGCGCTGAGAAAAATTACTTGAAGTTACTATGGCCTCTCCATGCCACCGTCGTGAGTGAGCCTTCGATACCCTATTCGCGCCACGTACGAACTTCACTCACTCAGTCTCAGACAACAGAGGCTCTGAGTCAGAGGATCGGCTCGATGTGTCTGTGGACGATGGTGACTACGTTCGCGTACAAGCAGACACACTCTCTATCCAAAGCCTTTACTGAACTAGAGGAAAGCAACAAATTGAGCTGAACTATGGGAAAACTCGTTGTGCAGTTATGTGATTCACATGCCAACTCTCGCCTTCGGATTTTTGAGGTACTTCAATACATTCGATCTGACCCGAATCAAGCGGCCAGAAAGAATGCCACTGAAATTGCGTTTGTCGATGATCAAAGTCATACAGTTGTATCCGGCTCGAGGTTGTCGGGCAACATTGTCTTATAGCGATGGTCGAGGTCTTTAGTGTAACCCTGTGTAACCTTGTTTCCAGGTTCCAGTTTTCTAGTTGAGTGTTATGGGACATGAGAGATCTGATTGGCTAGGATGGCTTTCAGACGAAAAAAAACCATTAAAAAATTATGGGTTTTTTTCGTCTGAATGCCATCCTAGCCAATCAACATGCGTCACGACGAGTTTTTGGAACTATGTTCAATCCAACCAAGGTAATATTATTACGACCCAAAATCGGACTATTTTCAGCTGGATCCGAATAACCCAAATAAACCTTGCCGTTGGGTTAACTTGGCCCCAGCTACCAGTCTACCGGTACTTCGAAGTAAAAAGGTGGCACAGCCGCACAAATTGCCGAATCCGTTCGCCATGCTCCTGCGCCGCTCCGTAACGGCAGCCTCGCGCCCTGCGCGCTCCCTATTGCGTGCTGCCAATGCCTTCAGCACTGAGGCTCCAGCCGAGAACAGGCCGCTGACTGACACGCTGCGCGAGTTGCGCGCCAGCGAGCACTTTGATCTCATCGTCATCGGCAGCGGACCCGCAGGCCAGAAATGCGCCATCGACAGTGCCAAGCACGGCAAGTCCGTGGCCATTATCGACAAGCGCGATATGCTGGGCGGAGTGTGCGTGCATACGGGCACGGTGCCCTCAAAGGTGCGGCTTTGACTTCCGAAGTAGCAATTTGAAGATTCGATTTAACTTATAACCACGTAATACTTCACAGACTTTCCGTGAGGCGGCGCTGCACTTGACAGGCTACCGCCACAAGGCCTTTTACAATGGACAAGCGGGTCCTAGCAAGCGCTTCGGCGTCGAGGACATTTTGCAGCGCGTTAGGAAGGTGGAGAACGCCGAGACGGACATCACCCGCCACCAGCTGCTGCGTAATGGCGTGCAGCTCATTAACGGTACAGCTAGATTCTTGCCCGGCAGCAAGAATATGGTCGCAGTTCTGTCCAACGAGTCGTACGAGACGGCTACGGACGCTAAGCGCCACTCCAGCGCTGATATCTGCAAGCGGTACGGCACGGTTTAAGGAATTTAATACTGAGCGTCGCGCTAATACGTTGATCATTTTGTGTTACAGTGTGTTAACGGCTGACAAGTTCTTGGTGTGCGTGGGCACGCGGCCGGCGCGTCGTCCTGACATCCCGTTTGATGGCGAGACGATCTTCGACAGTGACGAGCTGCTGTGGGGCAAAGTAAAGAGTGTGCCGCGCCGCCTGATCATTGTGGGCGCCGGTGTGGTCGGCATGGAGTACGCGTCGATGATGACGATTATTCCAGGCACGGACGTGACGGTGATTGACGGACGTCAGGAGATTCTCAACATGGCAGACAAGCAGGTGTCCGAGGCGCTGTGTTACTCCATGACTCAGACAGGAACACGATTCCTCACTGGCGAGACCATTAAGAGCGTGGAGAAGTCTCCTAAGGGCGAAGTTTTCGTGCATCTGGAGAGTGGCAAGACGGTCGTGGGCGACGGACTGCTGTACACCGTCGGACGTCAGGGTAACGTGGAAGGCTTGAACCTGGAGGCTGTGGGTCTATCGCCGGACAAACGCGGACGTATTAAGGTGGATAACAACTTCCAGACTGCGGTGCCTCATATGTACGTACGCGTTATGGCTTACACTGGATGACACAACATAAGAACTTAACCTGTGCGCTTATTCTGTAGTTATGCTGCAGGTGACATCATTGGTTTCCCGGGCCTTGCATCGACTTCGATGGAGCAGGGACGTCTTGCTTCGGTGCATATGCGCACGTCCAAGCCTCTGAACGACCTGGAACTCTCCGACGACAAGAAGATGGATGACCCGGACCGTGTACGCACCCGTATGCGTTCAGGCGAGGTGTTCCCGTTCGGTATTTACACTGTGCCGGAGATCTCGATGGTGGGCAAGAACGAGCAGCAGCTGACGAAGGAGCAGGTGCCGTATGAGGTTGGTGTGGCTCGTTATGAAGAGCTGGCCAGAGGTCAGATGCTTGGCGGTGTGCCTGGCTTCCTCAAGATTATCTTCTGCCCAGACACGCTCAAGATCTTTGGCGTTCATGCTATTGGTGAGGGCGCCACGGAGATTATTCACATTGGCCAGGTGGTCATGTCCACTGGCGGCACGCTTGAATACTTCCGCAATGCTGTGTTCAACTACCCGACACTGGCCGAAGCCTACCGCGTTGCAGCACTCAACGGTCTCCGCAAGATCGATCGTCTGCGCGAGTAATTTTCTTGGCAGTGCTGAGGGAAATTTCAACAAGAAAAAAAAGTAGAAGTGAGCTTGCAATGCCATGAATGGGCCTACGAGGACGGATAGACATTCAGGTTACCAAATGAGTACAGGAAAAAAAAGATAGGAATGAAGAGACGCAAAGTTTTCATTTCAGCATGGGGATAGTGAACAGCTTGTGGTCGTCAGGAGAGACGTGTGACTTGAGTGAAGAACAGGTCGAGGAGATCCATATGATCACCTCACGTAAGAAAGATCAGAGCAGAGTCCTATGATCTATAGTATGACGTTGTTGTTGTGCTCGTAGTTCCTCCGAAAGAGATTCATCGCATTCGACGGAAGTATCAGACGATGGTGAAGAGTGAAGATATGACGAGGGACGAATTCTATGCGCTGCCAGCGATTGCAGTGAACCCGTTGCGAGATCAATTGTTCAAGTCATTGGAGCTTACAGCAACACAGGCGATCACATTTGCTGTAAGCACGAGCTACACATGCTTAGATCAAGATCACCAGGTGCTGATTTCGAGCGCTTGTTGCAGGAATTTGCCAAGTTCGTACAGATATTCAGCTACAGTAGCTCACAAGATACCAAACTCAAAGGTGTGTGCTCCTCCAGTCCACGCACATGCAAGAGATGCCCTCATTGACCTGTTGCTATTGATGCAGAAGCATTCAAGCTCCACGATTTCGATGGCGATGGCAAGATCTCACGTGACGATCTTCGAGCGTACTGCGCTCTCGTGTTCCCAAAAATCCTCGAAAGCGACAGCGACGCCATTCGTTCTCAACAGGAGGTAACTACCCCAAGCATTCCAGTCCATATCAGGAAGAGAAAAAAAAAAATCTATCGCTAACGAAATTCTGGTTTGCTGAAAACCTAGGTCATGGAAACGTTGATCGAGCACGTCATGGATGAAGCCTCTTCGGCTCCGTCCCGCGATTTTCTCATCTACGATGACTTTGTCAAGGTACGCTTCAACAACTATTGCTACTGGGTGGAAGATCTCTATTGACATTGTCACTTCAATTGCAGGTGATCCAGTCGACAGATTTCGAGAGTAGGCTGATCGTCCCGTTCTAACGACGATACAATCGTCAATACATCGCCGCGTCGCATTCACGAAGCAATCATCTTCTCCATCGAAACCGATACGGGATGCAGTCATCGATGCTCTCCAGGCAACACTAGCTCCCAATAGTTTCATGCGACTTTAGTAGTGAACATCTTTAGTAAATCCACCACTTCGAGCTGTAGCCATTAAAGCGACCGTTTTCGCCTATTGCAGCTGTGGAAAATCCACACAAGGGTAGTAGATCCTTACAAATATCAAGTCAAATCGGTGGATAGGGGAATGCCCATACATTCTTTACGGAACTGTCTTTCAGTGTGAGATCGAACGGAGCTTTGCCATCATAACGAGCAAGGCAGTTGCCTGAGACCGAGCGTCTACCAGACCCCCACAGACTTTGGATGGCACAGGTGCGCGGCGAGGAAGGCGCTATGCCCACGGACAACACAGCGCTGCTGGCCGGCGGCAACTACGACAAGCTCACGACACCTAATGGTGGGGACACACCAGCACCAGGTCGCCAATCGGCGTCTCAACCTCCGCCTAATGAACAGAGCGAACAGGAACCCACAGCGCCGCAGGGCGAAGGCTACGATGACCTCATGCACGGTATCAACTCTTTCTGGGCCATCGTGTTCCCCGTGTGCGTGACGATGATCGTAGCCAGTCTCGTAGTCGTCAACTACCGAAGCGACAGCATCGAGGCGTCCATGTCGTCGTACCTCGTATATGGAGACTCTAATTCCAGCTCTAGTAGTGGAGGCTCCGGTATCGGCGAGTCTCTAGTAAACGCTCTAGTGATCATTGGAGCCATCGCGGTGCTTACGTTCGGTATGGCGCTGCTGTACAAGTACAACTGCATGAAGTTCCTGAGTGGCTACATCATGTTCGCATCTACCGCCATTCTAAGCTTCGTCGGGGGTCAATTAGTGGATGAGATCGTGAACGATCAGTTCGGTTGGGCCGTAGATTGGCCCACGTTTCTCTTCGTGATGATCAATTTTGGTTTTGTGGGAGTCATCTCCATTTTCTACCAGAAAGGAACACCCAAATTTGTGCAAAATGGGTACTTGGTTATGGTGAGCGTCATCCTGGCCTGGCAATTCTCCATGTGGCCTGAATGGACGACCTTCACGTTCTGCGTCATGTTCGCGTGCTACGATCTGTGTGCAGTTTTGACTCCGTGTGGCCCACTCAAGTACCTCATTGGACTTATCCAGGAGAAACAAGCACCATTGCCTGGTCTACTTTACGAAGCGGACGTTCGTGACGGTGTATCACACAATCACCACAGACAGCAACAGCAGCGTCAACAACAGGAACAGGAACAGCGTCGTCCTAAGAACACGCCGACCGACGAGGTTACCGCAACTGAACGTCAGTCGTCGTCTGCTACTTCGCAGTCGTCGAGTACCAGCAACCACAACAACGGTACTACTCCCGTGACGAACAGTACTCGTGTTCCGCCTCCTGTGCCAGTGGTAGCCCCTGTTCCGATCCCGGTGCCTCAACCCACGACAGGCCGCACAGACTCGTCTCCGATCCCAGTCATGTCTTCTTCCAGTCGACCTCGAAATGTGGCCGAGTCTAACTTTACTACGTACGAGTGTGAGACGATGGAAGCGCTTGTGGCTCTGCTGACAGAATTCTACGAGACTTTTAGTCCTGAGGACACGTGGAAAGCTCCACAAGTGGCGGAAAAATTCTTCCCGACGCAAGATCGATTGTGGCTCTTGATCTTCCACAAGTATTACGTCTGCTCGTGCTCGATGGACATGCCCTGCCCCGTACAGGCACGACGTGACCGTCGCCAACGCCAACGTGAGGAGGAAGGCGAGGACGACAAGACCATCAAACTGGGTCTGGGTGACTTCATCTTCTACAGTGTGCTGGTCGGTCGTGCCGCTATTAAGGACTTTTCAACCTTCGCGGTTACCTTCGTATGCATCGTGATGGTAAGCTCGGTCAACATGTCGTTTACTCAAAGAGGGTATTTCTAACCACTGTTGTTTTGTTTTGCTGAACAGGGTCTTGGGGGAACACTGTTCCTGCTGGCTGTGCTGCACAAGGCGTTGCCAGCGTTGCCCATCTCAATTTTCTTAGCCACGATTTTCTACTTCCTGACCGACTACATCTTCATCGACTTTTGTAGTTTCATGATGGCGTTCCCAGCCGCAGTGTAGATGGAAATGTAGTGGAAAAAAATCAAACCAATAAACAATTCTTCATGTTTTGACGTTATCAGTGAGCCTATCTTGCCAGCACGACAAAAATTTTTTTTAATGTACATCATTGATTTTTTAACTTACAAGCAGGCTTTTCGTCCTCAACGTGAACAGTCGATGGTGACGATAGAAGAGGTACTGGAGGACAAATTGGTGAAGGCGTGTGAAGAAGGAAACGTGGAGGTGTGTCAATCGAGTGTGGTGGATCTGCAGAGTCGATACGGAGTAGCAACGGAGGCTGTTCAAGAGCTTCTTGGGTATGCTTTCTCTTGTGCTGCTGCGCACAATCAGATCGAGATCATGAAGCTGCTTTTGTATCCGTCGGACAAAACAAACGGTAACGCAATGACTCTGTCTGAAGAGGTTCACGAGTGCTTGCTGTATGGAATGTGTCGCTGGGAGAAGTATTTCCCGAGAAGAAAGAGGTTCCAGTGTTGTTTTGCATTGCGGTATCTAGCCTACGCAGCAGTGATTTGTGTTGAGCAGAACGCACTACAGGCGCTGGAATTTCTGGTTCAGCACCAGACACCACCAATGCCTTCGTTACTGGTGGACACAGATGTGGTGCGCTGCTTCCGCTATGCATTGGAGCTTGGGGGTGACTTTAATGCTCCAGCACCTCAAGCCTACCGACCGATGCTTATGCTGCTTTTGTATAATTATCCGACATTGCTACTCCCGCACGTGGATGGAACGTATGAAGTGGATGCATCCCTTGTTGGTGCCACCAGAAAACATATCGAGTCACTGCGATCCAGCTTACATTACGAGTACGTCACGAACCCACAGCTACAGAAGTAGAAACACTTTTTTTTTTAACAGAAATCTGTTGAATGCAGTGTAACACAATTACGATAGAATAATGCAACGAAGCCTAACGCAGGCGTAACTATGCATGGGCTACTTCTTGAGAGCGGCCTCGAAAAGCACGATGACGGCGCTCATGTTGTCGCGACTGCCCTTGGACAGACACTCGTCCAGTAGCATCTCGGAAATGTCCTTGGGGTTCTTGACGCCGTTTTTGAGTTTGCTGCGAATAAATTTGCGCAGCTGGTCGTTGCTCATGACGTCGTAAATACCATCGCAGCACAGCACGAGGAACTCGTCCGCTGGATCACGACGCTGGACGCGCACACAAGGCTCCGACGTCACGAGCTGCTGGTGGGGCTTTAAGTCGGCATTGCGCTTGAACCACAAGTCGCCAAAGCTACGCGAGACAGCCACACCACCACACACGCGGCCACGGAACACCGTGCCGCCCGCAGCCATGATGCGCTGCTTCTCGAACTCCAAGTCTGGCTTGTGATCCACAGACAGCTGCAGCACCTCCGCGATCTTGGCGTTGCTCATAATGCAGCGAGAATCGCCCACATTGGCGCAGACAATATCTCTCGGTGTAATGATGGCAAACAGGCCTGTAGAGCCAACCTCGTCACAGGACGTAGCATACTCTGGATCTTCCTTTAGCATCTCGTCTGCTGCCATGAAACCTTCACACAGAGCCACAGCTAGAGATTCCGGCGACTTGTGGTCCTTCTTAAAGGCTCCGGTTGCAGTGATAGCCCCAACGATCTTCTCCGCACTGTAAAATAATTAATAATTATAAAAAAAACTAGTCAGAACTGTTAAAATGTATTACAATGCAGTCGTAACTTCACGTACATGTACGTCGAGACGGATGGGCCACCGTGGCCGTCGAATACAGCGACGCAGGTAGTATCCGGTACGGCCGGATGCATTGGGATCTGCACAATGTCCACGTCCTGACAGATAATAAAACAATAAATAAAGTGTCAATGAACGGATTCCTATTCGTTGATCATCAAGTTATAAAGCGTCTCACCTCCATAGTGTCACGCCATCCTTGCATGCTGGACTTGCCGATGGACATGCCGGGCGCGGACACGCTCTCCGACGTCTTGGTCGTGATGGGTTCAGCCAGGAAGCGGGACATCTCGACGCCTCTGGAACTTCTTGTAAAATGCGAAATCGAGTGAACAAAATTTTGTTAACTTGTGTAAACTTTGTGTACTCTGGCTTTGGGTTCACTGACTGCTGTTGAAGCTATTGGCAACATCCTCGTCCTCAATTACCAGGATGCATGGACAACTCACACTACCTTCATAGAGGCTGCATCATTTCGACTAGCCTCAGTTTCTAGCTTCTCGTTCAACGCCATCAACGCTGGGAACTGCTGGGCATGTAGAGACCCTTCTAACGCGAAGTCGGCGAGTAGCACTCGTGCAGTGTCCATTTCACTTCGACAGAGTGCCAAGTCGCTAGTGCTGCCTCTAATGGCACTAGGAGCGCAGGAAAATATACTAGCGAATCCGCCAGCGAAGCACTCGAGCAGTTTAAAGCGGTTCTCAGTCAGAGCCCAAGCCTCTTCGAACGGCGTATCCTCGTTGCAGTTTCCAAGTGCTGCACTAAGCACCGACTCACGCACAGCGCCACGACGCAGACCTTGAAACTCTTGGCTCATCATGTCCATATCCTCTTCGGACAAGAAACCGCGCACCATGGGGCCATATGTCTGTAATAGAGACGTAAACTCACGTTCACTAAGCTGTGCCAACTCATGTGGCAGCGTCGGTGGCAGGAACTCCGTCAGCTTCGGGGTGTTTGGTCCTCTGTTCGAGGAACTAGGACTCTGCTCATCACCTAGAGCAATGCTGAGCTCCAGTAGCGACTCGATCATGTTCACGCCACAAAGTGCCAGGTTTTCTGCGACCAGGTCAACAATGGGGGCTTCGACGCTGTTGATGATCTCGATTGATGCTACATCGTTCTCCTTGATAAACGCCACCATGTTTGGTTTGCTCAATGCAAATCGACCCTTGCGTGACTTGAACATTTTGCTGCTGGTCAGATCAGCAGGCAAGAGCGAGTCGTTTAAGGGACCAAGAGCATGGAAAGCAGTAGCGCATTCCGTAGACAACCCAGCAACCGCTGCAATCTGATCAGCAATAGTGGCGTGGTTACGCAAAAGTTTGTCGAATGTTGCGTTGGCACGAGTAGCGACCCAGTCCACTGCTGCGAAAAACAGCCACCAAGAGCTATCCGGAGCGCTCGGAGGTTTCTCGGTGTCGAGGTGATGGCAGATCAACTCGCGATGCGTCGCGATCCAGTTCGTCTCCTTCCCCAGCGCGACCCACTTCTCCTTAGAGCTGATGGAACTACTGGTAGTTCTGGGACACCGAGGAGCGGGTGTCATTCGCGCCAACAGCTCAGGTTGTCGACGAATATAAGCAGATAATTCCTTTAACACCAACAAGAAGCAGCCACCCTGTAGGGACGAGAAGAAGTTCGACACAATGCAGTCTAGTTGATGACAGCCGCTGGATGAGCGGTACACGACAGGAGTTGCTGCTTCTTGTTGCAGACGCGCAATAATATCCAATACTCGAGCAGGCATCTGGGCGTCGCCGTCCGTAGCTATGCCAATAAGTCGCTGTCTCCAGTTCGGCAGCACCACATTCATCACCCGCTCTAGTGTACAGTACATCATCGTTTTGCACTTGCCTTCAAACGCTGGGATAGAAATAAGATGAACGTTGTGCATGGCGCCCCCGCCATACACCTTCACGCGGAACTCCAGATACGATCGCACCGGTGCGTGTTCCATGCACGCTCGAAGCACCAGCGAAAAGGCCCAGCAGCTACGCAGCAGTCGTGATGTGACACTCAAGTTCGCAGCGATGACCAGACGTACAAGCTCCGCTGTCTGTTCCTCGCTGTACTCTGGACTTGTGTTCTGTGCACCTTGAACCTGCTTGTCCGCGGTAGCTCCAGCGTTATCATACTGTGATCTTTTGGTATTGACAACATCACGAAGCAAAACCGAGGCGTGTGACCGAAATGACCGCAACGCACTGGAAATTTGTCTAAATGACAACCCCGCCGCCGCCAGTTCCACTAGGCAGTCAATTTGTGACCGTGAGTACACTACAACACGGTATAGGGGATCGATCACCGTCCCTACTAAATTGCATGACTGGAAGGTGTTGCTCGGGGGACTCCATTTAGCCACCGTTGTCGATGTCGGTTCGTGCACATGTTCCATTAGGCGGTGGCTCTGCTTCTCAATAGTGTTCTCCACAGTCGGCTCGGTGGCCCCAATAGCCAACACAGCCACCAACTCTACAATAGCTGGGGCTATATCAAAGCACCGCTGTCTTTCTTCCCGTGTGGGCTCTAGTGCCCAAACTTCGCCGGGTGCCAACTCCACCTTGAGTTTCTGGGTCGGGTTTACAGCCGGCACTTGTGTCTCTGAGGTAGATCTCTCAGGTAACGGGAAGAAAGTTTTCTTCTCGTCTTCCGAGCAGGCCTGGTACCTCTTCCACGTCTCGCAGTGCGACAGTTCGTGGTGCTGTTGGTACTGGTCTGTCCGAAATGAATTCCGGAAGTACTTGATGTTCTTTGTGGAGCGACGCTGCTTGTCTGGCCGCTGTTCACGACCGAAATGCTGACAGAAGCGACAGACGACGAGCGTCACCTCACCCGTGGCTTCGTCTCGAGCTACTGGTGCTAATCCGAACTTGAGCTCATGTGACTTGAGGAACCGCAGGAAACGCTTGCGATTCAGCGGCTTCTGTGCTGGAGCAGCGGGATCAGCAGTATTGCCGTCTGTGCGTCGCTTCTTGGGGTCCAGTCCGACTGCGGCTTGCGTGGAGGCTGGTCGACGGGCCCCTGCAGGCTGAGGTTGAGCAGGACGCGACGATGGTTGCACCATAACGGGAATGAGCAAGTTGTGTACTGGACATCAATGATTTCTAACGAGATAGAAATGTAGTTTTTTTTCTTCTAAATTGTTAGTTCATTTTTGTGTTAAAGCGTACTTCAATGTTACCTTTGAACGTATTGACTATAACGTATGGAGAAGGTCTAATTGCCCCAGTGCTGCGATGGTATAAGCTTGTCTCGTGCCGTCTGAGGAATTTTGGAGTAAGCAGAAGCGACCGTCGATTTTACGACCTTGTCGCCATTGACAACCTATACTTGGTTCAAGATCTGGTGGAGCTTCGTTTTCAGGTGTTTCTTTTCCTTTCGGACTGTGAGTCTTTGGGCCTTCAAGGCTTTCGTCTAAGTTAGCTTCGTCCTGGTTGGCGTACGAGGCGAAACTCGAGTTTGTGTCGTCTTGCTCTTTCTCCTCCTCCACGTCGTATTCATCCCGAGCTTCTTCCAATTCTTTGCTGTCATAGCCATCACTGGCAACTTCTTCACCACCCTCGCTGATGTTTTCCTCATCCCAATTCGTTCGAAGAAGTGAAAATTCCCGTGTGTGCTCTTCAGGCGGTGCGGTTTCGTCCGATTGCCTTTCAGGTTCTTCGCTGTTCACCGCTGAATGTGGATGTTCTAACGCGGGGAACACAATCACTTCTTGGCCAAACAAGTCTACATCAAGCTGAAGATGAGTCAGTAATTGTCGAGCAAAAGTATGCTGCTCATTGATATCTTCGCCAGTATGGACGTTGGATTTCGTCTTGAGTCGCTCTAACAAAAAGCTGGTAGTCGCCGGTGCAAGCCTTCGGCTGGAGGAATGACCCGAGTTCGAATTGAAGACGCTGACGATAAGGTCACTATTGGCGTCCTGGATGAACCTCCGCCTCGAATGATGAGGCCACGTATCTCGGTTAATGTCGTTCCCGACTGTATCGAGTGCAACCTCGGCCAAAAGATAACAATTTCTCCAGATTAGGCCAGACTGTGTCAAGAGAGTAGTGCGTATGGGTGACGTGAATAACTGAGAGGTAGAGTGTGGTAGTTGTTGTCTTGATCGTTTCTTCTCAAGTGCACTTGTGCCCACTGGTCGACTACAACAAGGTTGTAGTAACGTGTTGACATGCGAATTCACAATTAGCTCGTTCGTTAACGTGCTGACATCGTAGCGATCGGGAACTGATATGATGTGTAGATGCTGAATGGCGGCAACAACCATTCGTTCCAAACTCACTATGTGCTGTTGATTCCGCCACGAATCCAATAGAATAGTGTCATAAAGTTCATTCACACTTGCTTCAACGCTGAGAATCGGAGCAATGGACTGATATGACATAGTGTCCACGATCTGGAAGCAAACCGTAAGGCCCGTTGTGTCCATTCCCCCATCGATTCTTGGTGCATTCACCGGTACTTTGCCGGGAAAAGTTTTAGGAGGACACGTCGACGCAAATATGTGCGCTCTTCGCTTTCTACCGACAAGATGAAAGACCGAATTGTTTGGGTTTATAACCTCGTCACTCTCGATCTCGACTATTTGATGCAAGCAAAACGCTACAAGTCCGGGCAACGCATCGAATCGCATTGCTTGATCGCTTTTAGTGTCTACATTTGGCGATAGGAATACCATTTCACCTTGGTCAGCGCCAAGTAAGGCGAAATTAATGTGGTCGCATATATTGCGAGCAATTTCTTGCATGGATAAATTGGTCCCTGCCGCGGCTGCCGTCGTCGCTGCTAAAGTTGATGAACTGCTTTTGTCTAGCAATTCATGTGTCATTCCCTTAGTGATAATCAATTTATACTCGCACTGCAGTTCTCGATGGTACGCGAAGACGTCAAAGCCGTAAGGATTGGTCACACTGTCTCCACAGAACACAGTCAACACGAGGTATGTTCCACCCACAAAGCGACCAGTTTTCAGCAGTTGATACTTTGCATCACCCGATATTTCATTCCCATGTAAATCTCCGACAAACTTTGTAGATGCAATCGCGGTAGAGCTTCTGTATGGCTTTTGGCCTGATATGCTTTCTGCGAAGTGATGATCAATACCAGGATTGTTAGGACAAGTATTCCGGTCTCTGGGAGATAATAGCACGTTGTTGCTAGTGGTTAAGGTGGAACCGGATGCCCCGGAACTCAAGATACAGTGTGGTGACGAGATTGGAGGTAGAGATGGCTGCTGAGGCATCGCCTTTCGGAGCGATCGGAAACCTGGTGTCATGTTCAGTTGCAACTTCTTCGGAGATGTCGGAATACACTTAATAGGGTGGGCGATTACAGGGATACCCGGTAGAGGTTCCGGACGATTAGTGGTTCTTAAGAAGCTTGAGCGTCTTGGTGGAGGCCCAAAACAACTTCGAATTTCATAACCACTGTTATGATGCTTATTTCCACTTACCAGTGACCTATCTGAGACTGGGAACTCGCTGATTGATGAAAGGTACGAAACATTTTTCTGCCATTCACGTCGAAGTTCATCGTTGCTATAATGTGAGGCGCTTTTCCGTATGCGCTCGAAAACTTCTACGTTGTCGTGTTTAATCTCCTTTAAGCGCCTAGCACGAACCGACCCATTCATGGATTTCGTTTGGGATCTTGCAGGTGGTGCCGCTAATTTGCTGGAGTGAGGTTTAGCTGGAGCAATGCTGCCCAAGCCGGGAACTGGTGCTACTGCTCGGAACTCCTCCATTTTCGCTAATGATCGCTGAAACTCGTCCAACGGTTGATCTTTTTGACTCGAATTGCTACTAGTAGTGTTATCCAAGATCCACGTCTCACTTGTACCCGAGCTATCACCACTTTTACCATCTTTTTGGAGCCCTAGCTCATCCTGCGAGACTTCTTTGGCCGTCGGTGATTCAGCATTCAGCGGTGGCTCACCTTGCACACAGGTTATAGACGAAAAACTGCCCATATTTGATCGTGCTGGTCTCAGGTTAAAAGACGTAGATGATCGCGGCTTGGATACGATACCGTACATGCACGATTTGACACCATCGATCTTTTTCCGATGAAGCTCTTGGGCCTTTTCCACTTCTCGAGCACGGCAGATTTTGCTGCTCGATTTCTCGGCGCGATGCATGTTGGGTCTACGGATCCACCTTTGATGATTGCTCTGGCTAGGGCCGCGTCAGCAGTTCCTGTGCGATTTCATTCACTCAACCCGACAGAACTCCCTACAAATCAAGTGGCAGCGGTTCGTAAAGAAAGCTGTCAATTCCACCTCTCAATCTAGAGCTGGGTCGACGTAAATATCCGTTGAAGACACCCCAGTGCTATTGCCGCCGGCATAAGAATAGCTTCGTCTTAAAAGCAACCCAGCTAACCGTAAGGATAGCATCAAATTTCTAACTCGCTCACTTTTGTAACTGAAGTACTTGCCCAGTCAGAGCTGAGTTCACCTTGGCTGGATCGCCATCAAAATACCTGCCAAGTATAACCTCGTACCGATAATCGGACGCAAATGCATCACTATGTCAGCAGTGTCCTCGTCCAATCCAGGGTGAGCGATAACCTTAGTCCGTCGGGCAGTAAATATTCGTGGTTTGAGTACGCAGCATGAAGATCTATGGAAAAGGTTGGTGCCGACGGCAGCGAAACCAAGTGCTCATGAGACTTAAAGTTCTCCTTTTAACACGGTGTTCAGCTCAAGTTTGACCTCACTCGGGAATGAGACGACCGCGATTGCAGTGGTGGTGAATGCATTCATGAACGACATCATGAATGAGTTGATGGCTTGGAGCCGGCCGACAGTGTAAAAAAGAGAGAGGAAGTGGCTATGCAGCTCGAGATCTCCATTCTATGGAGAGGAATCTAAATCCCAACTCGACCTTCACCCCTTGTGATAGACTAAATAACGAATAACGATCGGGTCAGCACTGGCTGTTCCCTCACTGTGGTGTCAACGAGTAGGTGTGGTAAGAGCGTTGCATCAATCATTGAACTGTCAGGAACGGGCATCAGTTGAGCTTGCTTACCTCCTCTTCTGCAAAATAGCGGTCTTCTGCATCGCGTTGCATCTCATCAAAGTCATCCAGAGCCTCATCAGCATCGATTTCCGCATAGTTCACGTACTCACTATCCTCTCCATTGAGAAACCTTGAACTCATGACTTCAATGAGTTGTTCACGGCGTTCGTCGATACTATACAGCGTCATGTCCTCTTCCTCCTCATCCTCATCTTCTTTTTCTTCGGTATTGTCTTCCTCATACAACCTTTCCAGTCTACTCTGCTCCTGCTTTTCGTCTGCTGCTATGAAATTTCCCCACTTTTCTTGCTCCGCCACCCGTCGAGTCTCCATCTCGCTGCGTTGGCAAGTGTCTATCAGGAAGGAGGACAGCGTTTGTCCTGCGCTGTCCGTCGATGGAGTTGCACTCTTGTTAAGGCTCAAATATTGACCCAAGTAGAAGTGGAACAACGCTGGACTGCGCTGCTGTATCATGCTGTCCGAGAAATAGGAGTCTTCATCCGAAATGTCCTCCAAAAGCTGCTGTAGTCGACAATAACGACGGTTCTTCACGACCACGGCGCGCCCGTTTTGAATAGCAGCGCGACTACTATTATGCGCGGCCCTTGCTTGGGCCATCGACTGCGATTGGTTGCCCGACGGCAGCTCCAGGGATGCCATGTACGCATCTAACGAATCGACTGCCTCCGCGCTCGCACTCATATTGTGCAGATTATATTGCAGATAACCTACGACTTTTACGTATCTTTTTTCTTAAAATATTTTTTGTGCATTTCTTGCACGAAAACTGAACGAAATAGTGCAACAGAGAGTAAAAATGACATGCAAAGTAACGTTCCAAGAAAACTGTTTATCTGTCCGCGATAGCGATCCTACTGTAGAGCTCGATCGACGTCTTGTCACCTCTCTCTTGACCACCTCTCTTTGTACGTCTACTTTCTTATGTCTAGTTCTTCTTGAATTCAGCCAGCAGCTCAGCAAGCTCACCAGACTTGTTCATGTCCGTGATGATGTCGCAGCCGCCCACAAATTCGCCGTTAACGTACAGCTGCGGGATCGTCGGCCATTGCCTACCATCAACAACAAGATAACTCAGTACATAGCTACAGTATCCCACTTTTCCTACTAATGGCAGGTTACTTACGAGTATTCCTTGACGCCTTCGCGGATCTCCGGGTGGTCCAGCACGTTGACGCTGTCGAAGCTCACGCCCTGAGCGTGCAGAATGCGCACTACCTGCATGCTGAAGCCGCACTGCGGGGCTGACGGCGTGCCCTTCATGTACAGCATAACCGGGTACGTCTTGACGTGACTCTCGATCATCTTGAGGATCTCATCCTTCTCCGTGGATTTGGCGGCATGATACTGCGGCTGGAAGTCCGAGTGCGAGTCGTCGCCACTTTTGGCCGAGAAGAAGCGCGACTGATGCGCAGACACAAACACGGGTGCGGCGACACGCTGCATGGCGAACGACGCACGCTGGCTGCGGCGCACGGCCGAGCGGCCCAGTCTGCGGACGATCGTGTTCATCACCATCGGAACTTCGTATTGTGAAGCTCCAACCGCAAATAACTGAAGGCTCTATCATTGGACAAAACCATCTAAGTGGTTTCATTGGATGAAAAAGGTATTACATAATCAATGTCACTCTTCCGAGGTCACTGTCTCCACTCCGAATACAAGCCCCCCCCCAATTCCGCCTGTCCAGAATAGCTGTAGCGCAAGAAGCTCGTTGCTGAAGATGACGTCCAACCCGCCGCAGAGCGCTGGACTGGCCGCTAAGCAGGCCGCTGCTGCCGCCGCCGCACGCTTCGCTGGTTACTCTTCCTTCTACGCATCGCCCTCGCCGCCTGCGCAACCTCATAATCAGACGCAGTTCTTTCAGCCTGCTCGCCCGCCTCCTCCTCGGCCGGGCATGTTCAATGGGCCCCGCGGTCCTCCCCCTCGCCCACCACATATGACCAACGGTTTCGCTCGTCCGCCGCCCCCGCCGCAGTTCGCGCTCAATGGTCGAGGGCCACCTCCTATGATGCGGCCGCCGCCTCGTCCAGCGTCTTCCCAGTCCTCCTCGTCCCAGTGGCAGTGGAGCAACGGCAGCAATGTTCAAACCTCAGCACCAGCAAAGACGGTGGCCGCTGCGCCTCCTGTGAGGTTCAATATTAGTCCACAGAACCGCGGACCCCCTCCCAGGAGCTTCGGCCCGCCGCCTGGAGCCTTCTCAGCGCCGAATCCTGCAGCCCCTGCTGCTGCTTCGCCCATGGGAGGCAATGCCAAGTGGCCGGACGCACTGCACGACTACGTGAAGCGAGCATTTGCGCGCTGCAAGGGAGCAGCGGACCAGAGTATTACCCAGAACTCCCTCAAGGAGATGATCACAAATGCCATTATGACCAACAGTTTGTGGACAAAGAATTGGACTGCTGAACCACTGCCGGTACTCGTAGGAGACACCCCGGCAGCGGCCATGCAGACCAAAATGGGGATGGGAGGACCTATGCCTGGAGCAGCGGGCCAGAAGTTTACACCTTCGCCTAGTAGCAGTAGTTTGCAGTCCAATCAGATCTTTATCCCATTCAAAGAGCCCTCTAGCAAGAAGAACAAGGCGAACAAGCGCAAACACGACGGCTTTGAGATCCAAGACGCGGATGTACAGCGCAAGAACCAGAGAAGACAGCGATTCCATATGACCCAACAGGAACTCAAGAGCTTGGTGACCCCCGAAGTGGATACGAAGAAGTTGCAGGTATTGACGCAGGACGGAGACCTGGACCTAGCAGCCATGGTCATTAAAGGTACTAGTCAGACGGTTGAAAAGGAATACTTGCGATTAACCTCTCCCCCGCATCCATCGACCGTGCGACCCGAGCCAGTGCTGCACAAGGCGCTGGAGCTCGTCAAGTCGAAGTGGAAGAAGGGTGACCGAGATTATATTTATGCCTGTAGCCAGCTCAAGTCCATCCGCCAGGACTGTACCGTGCAGCATATCAAGAACGCGTTCACCGTGTCTGTGTACGAGACCCACGCGCGAGTTGCGCTCGAGTCTGGCGATATCAACGAGTTTAACCAATGCCAGACGCAGCTCCACGAACTGTACGAGAAGCTGATCCCAGGCGAGGCGATCGAGTTCCTCGCGTACCGCATTTTGTATTGTGTGTACGTGTCTCTGCAAGCCAAGAAGGGGGACTCGAACGCAGGTCAACTTGGCATGTACAACGTACTGGGCATGGTAACACCCAGGCTGCGTGCAGACCCAACGATCGCCCATGCGCTGAGGGTGCGCCAGGCGGTTGCTATGAATGATTATCATCGTTTTTTCAAACTCTATGTAGATGCTCCGAATATGGCAGGTTACCTGATGGACGTCATGGTCCCCGCGATCCGACTAAGTGCGCTTCGAGCGATGTGCAAAGCGTAAGTTGATGTTGTTTTAATAGCTTAAATGTTGGGATCAATTTACTGACGGTTTGCCTTCTTGTTGGTAGGTATCGCCCAACGCTCCCGGTGCAGTATATTCGCGATGAGCTCAAACTTGAAGGCAAGGCAGGAAAAGCTTTCATCCGTCAGTCTGGTATCGCATTTGTTAAGGGAGACAAGACGCGAGTGGACACAAAGGCCTCGAACATCGTCTGGGCGCTGAGCAATGAGTCGTCGCTTATTTAGGCTTGCACTTTGCTTGTGCTACATTCTTGAGCATGGTGAGACTCTCACCTCACCGTGAGGGTGAATCGACGTCAGTAGCTGAAAAAAAAATCACGCGGGAGACAGTGGTGTAAACGTCAAGTGATGCGAAGCAAAGTAAGGCCTCGTCCTGCTTACATCTGTAGCTGAAATGGTGCTGAAGAAATCGTTCGTGTTTACTGCCTCTCCACCCCCGCCGTCGTCCCGAGCCCACTCGAGCATCGTGATTGCTGAACGCATAGCTATAATGTTTCGCGGTTGCAGCAGTTTTACAAGAGTGAAGTGAATTCGAATGGCAATGGTGATAAGACTGGAATTGAGAGGAACGGCGGGGCAGAGAGATAGGATGATGATCGAGACGTAGAAAGAAGGAGAAGGGGGAAGGAGGTACCTACCAGTGACTGCAGTCGTCGGTGCATATTCATACCTGCAGCAAATGGGTATTCTATCTGTGGCGTGCTATCTACGCATGCGACTCGATGCTGCGCTATCTGAAATCCAAAACGCAATGCTTGCATAACATAATGAAAACTGCTTTTCGAATTCGCTCGCAGCGTTATCTATGTGGTTTTCTACACATCGTATGCGCACGCAGCCTACCTAGAGCTTGCGCTTCTTCTGTGCCGGCTCATCCTGTCTGCTGCCATCGCGGCCCAACTGGATCATGGCCGCGTCGGCGATGGCAAGCGCAGCCATGGACTCCACGAGCGGCACGACGCGCGGCAGTACACAGGGATCGTGACGGCCCTTGGCGGCCAGCACCGTGTCCTTGCCGTCATAACCGACCGTGGGTTGGGCGCGGCCGATAGTCGACACGGGCTTGATGGCCACACGGAAGTAGATGTCAGCACCGCTGGTAATGCCGCCCAGCACACCACCGGCGTCATTCTTGGTCACGCCCAGCTTCTCCGGGTTCTCGGCGTCCGAGCCTGCGCAGAACGGGTCATTGTGCTCGGAGCCACGCTTGCTGGTACCAGAGAAACCGGAGCCGATCTCGAAGCCCTTGGTGGCCGGGATGGACATCATGGCGTGTGCAAGGACGGCCTGCATCTTGTCGAAACATGGCTCACCCAGACCCACGGGCGCGTTGCGGATCACACACGTGACGACGCCACCAGTCGAGTCTTCGTCCGCCTTCATCGTGCGAACAACCGTCGACATGGCGCAAGCGGACGGAGGGTGCGGACAGCGCACGGGGATCAGGTCGTCAGTTAGCCAAGCATCCAGGTTCTCCGGGGCAGGCACAACGTTACCCTTGCGGTTGTACACGATCTTCTCCGTGTCAATGTAGGCCGGTGTGGTGAGGTCGTCCTCGGCCTTGACGAACTCTGCGTCATACGCCTTGTCGTTCTCTAGCTGCGTGGCGGCGTCCTCTACCTTGGTCCATTTGGCAGGGTCACGTAGAATACGGATCGAGCCAATGGTGTCCACCTCCTCGCGAGTGTAAATGGCCTTCTTGGGGTCATTCAGCAGGTCGCGCGGCATGTCTACCGTGCCGATGGAGCTTACCCAGCACACAATAGACGTGCCGAACTTCTCGTTGAGCCACTTCTCGGCCACAGCGCCAGCTGCTACACGGCCAATGGTTTCGCGAGCACTGGCACGGCCACCGCCGCTGCTAGCGCGCGTGCCGTACTTCATCTGGTACGTGTAGTCTGCGTGGCCCGGGCGAGGCACAAGATCCATCTCCTTGTAATCCTTAGGGCGCACGTTTTCGTTGGGCACGAAGAGTGCAAGCGGCGTGCCAAGCGTGAAGCCCTTCTCAGTGCCGCTCATGATAGTCACCATGTCCTTCTCGTCGCGCGGGGTCGTGAGCTTGCTCTGGCCGGGGCGACGGCGCGTGAGCTGCGGCTGGATGTCAGCCTCTGTCAAAGCGAGCGACGGGGGAACGCCATCCACGATGCAGCCCACGCCCTTGCAGTGCGACTCGCCGAAGGTCGTCACGCGGAAGAAGCGGCCGAAGGTGCTCATGATGCAAGAGACTGATCGGGAGCTATGTGCACGCAGGAGAGGTTTCTGAAGTGACGAGCTCACTTACGGATTGCCCAAACACGAAATGACTGACGTAGGAGGGCTGGTAGAACTCGTGATATGTGATGATGTCGGTAGATGAAACTGTAATTATCGATAATATTGAATCTGCTATATTTCATATGTAGGTACATCCGATGTACTAAATAACTGTTTATTGTTGTGCGTGGCGCATCTCTGACTTTTCATACGAAGCTTTCACAGAGGTACAATGAGGTGTGTGTTTTTACCACTGTTTGAAAAATTGTATCCCCCGGGATGCAATTTCTTGCAGTTTTCAAGGATGGCTACACTATAACACCACCTGAACTTTCTAGTGAACGTGCAGCGCACAGTTTCTTGTGCGTGCTCGCGTGGCCCAATGGATACGGCGCTGCCCTCCTAAGGCAGAGATTGCGGGTTCAAGTCCCGCCGTGAGTATTTTTCGGCAGCAAATCGGTTTTGCTTACCAGAAATAAAAGTATTATTCTCCCCGCACCGGAATCGAAGGCGATAACGGACAGTATCATACTGGGCACACATCAGTGATGCGGCACCAGCCTGCTTACACTGGAGCATTACATGTAAATTTTGACTGCAAATTCAGGCTTGAGATGCTTCTGACGGTACTTAATCAATCAAGACCTACACGTGATTGCCACTGCGGTCAATGCGACTGAGTCGAGATTAACCCAAGAAATTTTCGTGACCCGCAATTACTGGCTTCGGCAGAAGATCACTCCACGTATTAAACAGCATTGTAGTGCTAATACATCAGGAGCGTTGACCTGCATCTTACATTTCTCAGACCTAACACCAGGCGACATATGGATACTATCTGCACTGAGTACAGGTATCTCAAGTGCATTATCTTATAACTCAGCAAATTCCATTGCGAGAGCAGCGAGTGTTAATATCCATTAACTTGAAACTTCCATGTCCATAAAATGGTTCTTAATTAGCTGAGACAGCTAGAGAGGAATACACTCGTGTAATTGCTTTCTTGCGTTGTCTTCTTCATGTTTTGATCTCTTCCAGTGACTACGGCATGGGCAGCATACTGTATCCGCATACCTGGCACAAAGTTTGTAATTTTAATTACAGCCCCGGGGCATTAAATATTACCCCCTGCGCCACAAATGTTCTTGTGGTCAGTAGGCGTTTGTCAAAACGCAAACGACCTCGAAGTTGTGTCATTCCTGAATTTGCTACGCACCAGTAAAGTTAATTATGCCGAGCACCCACTCCGAACCCGAAACTGAACGTGTGGCCAAGCGTCAACGTCTGGAAGACCGCAATGTCGTTGCAATCAAGCCGCTGGTACCGCCCGCTTGCGTGCTCGAGGAACTGCCAGTGACACCTCAGGTGCATGAGCTGGTGGACGCTACGCGTGACGCCGTGTCCCGCATCCTTCACGGCCAGGACGACCGCCTCGTCGTGGTCGTGGGTCCTTGCTCTATTCACGACGTGGATGCTGCCATGGACTACGCTAAGCGCTTGAAAACTCTTGCGGATGAGCTGAACGGAGAGCTGCTGGTGATCATGCGCACCTACTTCGAGAAGCCCCGCACGACTGTGGGCTGGAAGGGTCTGATCAATGACCCGGACCTCGACCAGTCTTTCAAGATCAACAAGGGCATCCGCATTGCCCGTAAGCTGTTGCTGGACGTGAACTCGCTGGGTCTGCCTGTGAGTCTGGAGTTCCTCGACACCATTTCGCCTCAGTTCACCTCGGACCTCATCTCGTGGGGTGCCATCGGTGCGCGTACGACCGAGTCGCAGCTGCACCGTGAACTCACCAGTGGCCTGTCGATGCCTGTGGGCTTCAAGAACGGCACGGGTGGCAACGCCAAGGTAGCGGTGGACGCAGCCGTCGCGTCATCGCAGCCCCACAACTTCCTGGGCCTGAACGAGCACGGTCTGGCGTCGATTGTGCGCACCAAGGGCAACAAGGACTGCCACGTGATCCTGCGCGGTGGTTCCGATGGTCCCAACTACGAGCAGAAGTACATTGACGAAGCTGCTGCCATGCTGAAGAAGGCCAAGCAGCCGTCCAAGATCATGGTGGACTGTTCGCACGGCAACTCGCGCAAGCTGCACGCGAACCAGCCTAAGGTGGCCAGCTACTTGGCTGGTATCGTGGCTGAGGGCAACACGAACGTTCTTGGTTTAATGATCGAGTCCAATATCGTGGAGGGTAACCAGTCGCTCGGCGACGACCCGTCCAAGCTCGTCTACGGACAGAGCATCACGGACGCGTGCATTAACTGGGACGACACGGTCACGACGCTGAAGGAGCTTGCAGGTGCCGTCACCAAGCGACGCACACTTGATGCCGCGAACCCGGCCAACTAGATGTCAGAAACCAATAGCGCACCAATATTATCACGATAGACTCTCCAATACACACACTTTACCTCCACTGCAGCGGCGTCCGGAGTGACGTTTTTTTTTTGCTGTTCGTAGTGTGATGGGAGGAATTCTGGTGCAACCGTCGATTGAATTGTGAACGAGGTTCTTGCAAATCAAAATGGCAAAAGTGTCAACACTTCAAGCTGCGTGCCTCGGTTCACCGACGGTTGATGCCACCATTGCAACCAAGCAGCATCAACCGTGGCATTAGCTTTGCCTTCAACCACTTCTAGCCAGCTCGATTACTGCAGTTCAGGCTACATCTTACAGCATTGTTGGCATCTAAGCGTCTTGGCACCAATTCCAAGAGCTTCCTCACTTTCAAATTTGTCAACTAACGTACAAGACCCAAAGTATCCCAACGCAATGCGTAGTATTGGTCTTACACTGCTGCTGGCGCCGGCATTGGCCGAGCTCTGCCTCGCCGACAACCTCGACAAATATGGCATATTCACCCCCAAGAAGATCGCGCTGAGCTCCGTGCCGTCTATGGATGGCCAGTCCTACTCGGGTGGGTTCACTCTTTCAACGGACGAACCGCTGGCCACACTCGACTACAACTACGAAGTGGCAGGACTGCCGTACTTTGTGGTGTCCTCCGTCTCCAATGGACCAGTGGAGGTCGAAGTCAAGTACGCAGAGCAGTTCCCAGCGCTCTCGCTCAACTACTCGGATGGGCCATCGCAGTTCACGACATCCATCGCCAACTCACGTCGCGTGGAGACTCACCGCTTCACTGAAGACGAAATTGGAGCCACGATCACCTCCATACTCAGTCAACCTGGTCAACGATGGCAGTCACTTCGTCTGCTTACTGGTGACTCCATCACGTTCGAGACTGTCGGTTTGCAGGCGTCCGTCGAGGTGATCGACGACCTTACCGCTCTACCCGGTAAATTTTCAAGCTCCAACGCCAAGTACGACGAGATCTGGAAATTGGGAGCACGTGCTGTGACTGCCGCTTGCTTGGATGCTGGCAGTCAAGTGCCTTCGTGGAGCTCGTCCGAAGAGAATGGCACCTTTGTGCCTGGCACGCGTCCGGGTATCTCGTACCGGACGTGGAACCTGACGGACTACGTGCTCACCTTCGACTCGCAGATCATCCGCGGTGGCGCAGGCTACACCATTGCGTACGACCTGACGGGCAACCGTGACGGCGTGCAGATCCATTTGGCGTCCGAGTACCCGAACGACACGACCTTCTCCAACATCAACACGACATTGTTCCCTGCCAACACGGTGACTCTTGCATACGGCTACGACTTTGCTAACGCCACGAGCATGACGAGCTACATACTGGGTCAGTACGATGTGCCGTTCAACGTCAAGGAGAACGTCTGGTACCCCGTGGAGATTCGTGTCAACGCCACGGCTGGTAACATTGTGTTCTCCATCGACGGACAGCAAGTGTTCGATATCATACTGACCGAAATGGGGTTCACGGACAGCCAGCTCTCCTTCTACGGTTATGCGTCACGCGGTGAAGGTGCGATCGGCTTCGGTGGCTGGCAGGATCAAGCATCCTATGTGCGCAATGTGACGGCTACTAGTTTGTCCGACTCGTCCAAGGTGCTGTACTCGAACCCAATGACAGACGAAAGCGTGGTCGTTCCAGAGTTCGGCGGACAGAGCAACGCGTACGGCGTGTGCATGGATGGCGCCAAACGTGACCGGTACGTTTGGCTGGGAGATTTTTACCACACGACGCGAATCATGGGCGTGGCGAACTCGAAACCCGAGCAGATCGCCGGTACGTGGGAGTTTTTGTTCGAGTACCAAGCGGCAACAGGTCAAATGGCTGGTTTCGTTCCCATTTCGTACCAATCGCCGATGCCTACGCCCGAAGTATTCCTCTACGATGCTGGCACTGTGGATGCCTTGTACTATTTCCCGGACTACGTGATCCTCGGACTGATTGGTTTGGTATCTTACATGGACTATTACGACGATGATGCTTTCGTCAAAGCCCATTGGGAGGAATTTACTCGTGCGATGACTTGGCTTATTGGCAACCAGGGCAGCAATGGGCTCATTGATTTTACGAAGTACGTGGTGGTATTCCTTGGATCCGGTGCAGGCATGGCTGTGAATGCTGCTGCTGTCCAGTGTCTCGACGGTATGGCTGGGGTGGCTCGTGCTGTGGGTGACTTGGAGTCTGCAAATTCTTGGCTTCCTGTTGCTGCTAGTGTGAAAGCTGCTATCAACGAGTTGCTCTGGAACGATGCGCTGGGTAACTATGCACTCGATTTGTCGACACCTGAAGTGTATGGCGTCTCGGCTACTGCGTTTGCTCTCACTTCGGGTGTGGCCAACGAGACCCAGACCAAGCTGATAGTGGACGGTTTGGAAGGTCTGCGTCAAGGTCCTGGGTATCTTGATTCGAGTAATACTGCCAACACTACGCACATCTCGCCGAATACAAACGGATTCTTGCTCGATGCGCTTCTGCAGCACGGATACACCGACCAAGCTGTTTTCTTGCTGGACAACCTCTGGGACGCCATGATCTCGAACGAGAACTATCGCTCCGGTGCGAGTTGGGAATACGTAGCACAGTCATTGGAGCCGGGTATTGATCTCTTCACGTCGTTGAGTCACCCGTGGGGCGGAGCACCTACCTACGCGTTCACCAACTACGTAGCGGGTATTCGTCCTGTAGAGTTCGGATTCCGTCGGTGGATCGTGAATCCGTTGGTGTCAGGTCTGAACGTTACCAGTGCCAACGCTACCGTGAACACGCCGTATGGAGATCTCTCGGCCGCCTGGGAACTCGTCGATAGCCAACTGAGTGTGACAATCACTGCTCCGGTGGGCACGGATGGCACTTTCGAGGTTGCTCAGCCTAGTTCGTCCACGGGTACTTACGAAAAGCACTTCGAGGGAACCGGGACAGCTACGTCCTTCGTCGTTCAACTGTGAAACGTTTTTAATCTGAAGGGTGGTCAGTCAGATTAATCAGATCATGCAGAAGAATGAACATCGCATTTGCAGTTTCCACAAAATAGTGCCCAAGACGAAGCTGCAACAAGGCTGGCTGATCCATTCATTTTATTCTCATTGAACATGGCTGTCATTTAACAAAGATCCATTTGAGTGCTTAGACCATGTTGAATTTTGTGTCATAGTAATTCACAAGTTATGATCACACAGCCTTTATATTCATTGCAGCCTCACTACTTACGAGATTATGTTCATGAAGCCAAGGCCTTTATTAGCCAGCTGATACACGTACCATGAAGAGGTGAAACTTCAACGTGCGCTGATCGGTGGAGGGCGTGACGTTCTTCAAGCACTTCTTCAAGATTTTTTTTGCTGTCGACCACGATACAGTGTATCGTGCTCGACAGTATAGTAGCTCGGTATCATGCACGTAATCAAGGGCGGCAAGCCGCCGACAACGCCGTTGTCAACGGGGGTAGTACGTAGCACATTCAACTGTTTATGCTTAGCTTCGGAAACTAGCAAAAACGAACTGCTTCAGATTGTTACACGGTCTTGTTTCTTCGTGTTAAATTATCCAGTAAGCTCATTTTTTAGAGTTGATTATTTGTCCTTGGACAGCACAGCTAAGAGATGATCTCAATCAGTGGTTGATACGTATAAGTAACCACATAAAAACATTAACGCGCTTGTGCTTAATTGCTTGATTAAAAGCTTGATAACGTCTAGCTTCACTGCTTACTAGACGTTAGTAAGTTGAAGTTTACGTATCTGTAAACTTCAGCTTCAACTACTTTATGAAGGAGGCCGGGACGTCCCGCTGCCAGGTTTCTCGCGTTTGCCTTGCTCATTTTTCTTTTGGATCACTTGAGCAAACGCAACTTCGAGGCATCAAGTGGTATGCGTGGCTTGGCAGTGATCATCCCAGCGCTGTTAGCCAGCACCAACTTGGTGGCAGCAAGCAGCGACTATAGTGTCTTCACACCCAAGAAGCTCGCGCTAGGAACCGAACCAACAATGAGCTCCAAAGCGTATATCAACCGCTTCACGCTCACAACAGAAAATCCCGTCGCAACTCTCGACTACGACTACGAGGTGGCCGGCCTACCGTACTTCGTAGTGTCCTCCGTCTACAATGGGCCTGTAGACATCGAAGTCAAGTATTCGGAGCAGTTCTCGGTGCTTTCAACCAACTTCTCCGATGGACCCTCGCAATATGCCACCGCTGTCGCAAACTCACGCCGCGTGGAGACTCACCGCGTGGAGACTCACCGCTTCACAGAGAATGAAATTGGAGTGACGGTGACGTCCATGCTAAGTCAACCTGGTCAACGTTGGCAAACGTTGCATTTGCTAAGTGGTAACTCCATCACGTTCGAGGCTGTTGGTCTTCAAGCTTCAATTGAAGTGATTGACGATCTGTCAATGCTTCCGGGCAAGTTTTCGTGTTCCAACACCAAGTATAACGAGATTTGGCAACTCGGTGCACGCGCTGTAAGTGCTGCTTGTCTGGACGCCGGAAGCCAAATACCGTCTTGGAATGTGTCTGAAGAGAACGGCGCATTAGTGCCTGGAACACGACCAGGAGTGTCTTATAAAGCGTGGAATCTGAGTGACTACACACTCGAGTTTGAGACGCAGATCATCCGCGGAGGCGTCGGGTTTTACATTGGCTACGACATTACGGCAAACCGAGGATCGCTCATGTTCCACTTGTCATCGGAATATCCCGCTGACTCGACTTACGTGAACACGAACTCCACATTATTTCCAGCCAACACGCTGACCCTTACGTACGGCTTCGACTTTGTCAACGCCACAGATATGATAAGTTATGTCCTGGGTACTTCTGACCTGCCTTTCAACGTGAAGGAACATGTCTGGTATCCAGTGAAAATTGCAGTCAATTCCACGGCAGGCAACTTGGTGGTGTGGCTGGATAACCAGCCAGTTATGGACATCACGATCTCCGACTTGGGCTTCAATGAATCTCAACTGTCGCTTCTAGGTTACTCGACGACTGGCAAAGGTGCCATCGGCTTTGGTGGCTGGCAGGACCAGGCGTCCTTTGTACGGAATGTCAAAGCCACAAGTCTGAATGACTCGTCGAAGACGCTCTACTCGAACCCGATGACGGACGAAAGTGTCGTACTACCAGAGTTCGGCGTGCAGTCCAACACGTACGCCGCGTGTCTGGATGGTGCAAAACGTGATCGATACATTTGGTTGGGCGACTTCTACCATACCACTCGCATCATGGGCGTGGCCAACTCGAAACCTGAACAGATCACGGGTACTTGGGAATATCTTTTTGATTACCAGGCTTCAAATGGGCAATTTCCAGGCCTGATGGTCATGACGTACGAGACGCCGATGCCCACGCCCGAAGTCTTTACGTTCAACGCTGGCACGAGTGATGCATACTTGAATTTCCCAGACTACGACATTTTGGGGCTGATCGGATTTGTGTCATACATGGAGTACTACGACGATGTGGAATTCGCGAAAGCTAACTGGGTATCGTTTCGCAAAGCTACTGATTGGCTTGTAAGCCGCCAGGGCAGTGACGGGCTTATCGATGTCACAAAATATGTGGCGGTGTTCTTAGGCTCAGGCACTGGCACGGCTGTGAACGCTGCTGCCGTCCAGTGTCTCGAAGGTATGGCCAAGGTGGCAACTGCGGTGGGAGACGAAGACTCTGCTAACCAGTGGGTCGAAGTCGCTTCCAGTATCAAAACTGCTATCAACGGTCTGCTCTGGAACGAAGCGTTCGGCAACTATGCTGTGGATGCATCGACACCCGAGGTCTATGGAGTCTCGGCCATCGCTTTCGCGATAACTTCTGGAGTGGCAAATGAAACTCAAGCTGATCTCTGTGTGAAGACCTTGGAAAAGCTTCGTCGAGGCCCCGGATACCTTGATACAAGTGCTACGGATAACAGTACCAAGATCTCGCCAAACACGAACGGGTTCCTGTTGGATGCTATGCTACAAACTGGACACACAGGTGAAGCTGCGTTCTTGCTGGACAACCTGTGGGACGCCATGATCTCGAACGAGAATTATCGGTCTGGTGCGAGTTGGGAGTACGTTTCGCAGTCACTGGAACCTGGAATCAAGGAGTTCACGTCGTTAAACCATCCGTGGGGTGGAGCGCCTACGTATGTATTGACCAACTATGTTGCTGGTATTCGCCCTGTGGAGTTTGGATTTCGTCGGTGGATCGTGAATCCGCTGGTGACGGGACTGAATATCACGAGCGCTAATGCCACCGTAAGTTCCCCGTACGGCGCTCTGACGGCCGCTTGGGAGAAGACCGCTAGCAATGTCCTGAGTGTGACGATCACTGCGCCGACAGGAACTGAGGGTGTGTTCGAGGTGGTGCAACTCAATTCGAGCTCTTTCCAGCAGACTTTGAACGGTACAGGCGAACCGATTTCGTTCAGCGTTCAGCTTTAATGAGTTTCCCGTCGCTAAGCATTCTAAATTCGCACCCTGCTAGTGCCATTGTCGAATGACTTCGTCAAAGTTCAAGCTAATGAGGTTTTCATGTTCGTCAGCTTGATTAGTCTGACAAACTGTTTGTGAATATTTGTTGCGTTCAAAACGAATGAGCTGATGCTCCCAATTTTTAGAAAATTCGAAACTCTTGCCACTTGCGTTGAAATATTGTTTTGTCGGTGCTAATGATACTGATTCCAAGCGTGTAGGTAGCCCCACGTCAGCAGAATAATCAGTCATGTTCACCACCTACGTGATTTACTATAGCCTGCTCCCTACTTCGGAGACCTTCATCGCAGACTATATACATCGTTGCACCATGCTTTCACAAAATACGGAATGACATTCGCCATTTGCTTTCTCCATCAATAAATACATCGAAGTACACCCAGCGTTTTCCTTCACGGAGCATATGACAACGTGACCAAGGTCGATACGCGTTTTACAATACCGGACTTTCGTTGCTCGCAACATTGGTCTTCCATAATTGTAACCGCTTCTCAGATCTCCCAGGAACTAATGGAGAATCATAGCATCCAAAGTTGGAGTCGGGGTTCTCTTATATGTCGGTGCTCTTCTCATCCGTGGCTGCGGGTGCTCCTCAGCCGCGAAATGAATCCTTCTCCCGCATAATCAACCACCGAACGCGGCATCAAATGAGCGGTTGCTCCGTGTGCGCCATCACCTCGCAGGTGGATGGCTTACGGTCCACTGACTCGGCCGAGGCGTCCGCGACCACCGGTTCTTCTTCAAGCGGACAAGCGATCGCCACGTCAGCTCCCAGATCGAGCTCGTCTAATCTATTCAAGCCCCCAATGTTGAGACTAGCTTGCCAGTCCGACTCTCAGGCTATTTCCAGTAATCATTTCTGGCCCGAAATGTTGAGACTTCGCCTAACGCCTCGTCGACGTGCACTTGCAAAACCAGGCGCATTTGCCGTAGTCAGCGCAAGTAATGGACTGTATCCATCTCAGAATAGCGTCGCCAAAACATGCTCTTTCGTAGGTTTCGTGCGTCAGCTTCAAGTGAAGGTTGAAGGCGATTTGAAGTAACGCGAAGCAATGCATTACGGTTAGAGATCGCATCGCACGACTCTATCTGCCTTGGCTGCTGGCATCTATCTACTTACTCGGCGGCTGTGACCTTCGGGTATTGCTCGAGCATCTTCTCCCAGGTGGTCGAGCCCTTGACCAGCTTGTTCACCTCGGCTCCGATAGCGTCCATGGGGATCCGCACCTGCGCCGTCGAGTCACGCTCACGTAGCGTCACCACGCGGTCCTTGACCGTGTCGAAGTCGATCGTGACGTTGAATGGAATGCCCAGCTCGTCCGCACGCGCGTACTTACGGCCGATTGCCACACTCGACGTGTCCACCTTGCACTCCAGACCTTCCTCAACGAAGACGTTCTCCAGCTCCGTCGCGAACGGCTCGAAGGCCGGGTTGTTGCTTAGAGGAAGAACCGACACCTTAATAGGGGCGATCAATGGCGAGAACGACATGACACCACGCTTCTCGTCACCCTCGCGAGTGTAGAAGTTGTGCTCAAAGACGGCGGTCAGGATACGGCCGATTCCGAACGAGGGCTCGATCACCGAGGGAACGAACTTCTCCTCGCTCACCATCTTCTCCACCACCTTGATGGCCACCATGTCGCGCTGCAGCGTGAACTGCTTGCCGTCGCACAGCGGGCCGAGCGTGGCCTCGCCCTTGGAGGCCAGCTCGTCCTCAAACGCCTGCGCGCGCGGCACGTCATCCTTCAAAGCCTCGAGCGCCTCGAGGATCGTGGCCACATCGGCCTTGAACGTGCGGCCCATCTTGCCCTTGTTCGGCTTGATCTCCGCGATCTGGCGCTTCTCGGGCTTGTCAAACTTGTGCGTGCCCACCATCTCGACCTTGCTCTTCTTGGCGTGAACCGACAGATCGTAGCACGAGCGGTCGGCGTGGCCGGCGCATTCCACCCAGCCGGAGCTCAGCTTGATCTCCAGGTCCCAGCAGTCCGTGGCGTAGTGGGCCATCTCGGTGTTCAGGTGCTGGCGGAAACGCAGACGCTCCATGTCAATGCCGATGGCCTTGCAGAACTTGTACGTCCGGGCCAAGTAGTAGGCCAGACTCTCGTTGGCGATGATACCCTGTTCCACCGCAGCGCCGCACGTCATTTGCACGGCCTTGCCGTGCGTCAGCTGGTTGGTCTTGGTCAGCAGTGGCAGCTCCAGGTCCTTAATAGTCGAGAACTTGGCGTGGCTCTTGTCCTTTGGGTTGACGAAGAACTCGATCTCGGCCTGCTGGAACTCACGCACACGCAAGAGGCTGGCGCGGGGCGAGATCTCGTTACGAAAGGCACTGCCGATCTGGGCGCAGCCGAAGGGAACCTTACCGGCGTTGTACTCGAGCAGACGGCGGAAGTTGAGGAAAATACCCTGGGCTGTCTCGGGACGCAGATAGCCCACCAGGCCGCCCTCGGGCCCAATGGCACACTTGAACATAAGGTTGAACGGGATGGGGAAGCTCAGATCGGCGCCCGTGCCGGGGGCCTTGATGCCGTACTCCTGGAACACGGCGTGGATCTCCTCGGGCGAGTACGACTCGGCCATAGTGGCGTGCAGTTCGTGCTTCTCACGCTCCTCCTTGCTCAGATCCGGGTGCTTGTCCAGAAAGTTCTCGACGTGGTCCTCGAGCAGCTTGTCGGCGCGGTAGCATTCGCCCGACTTGGTGCATTTAACCATGAGATCCGTGAAGCGATCCACGTGGCCCGAGGTTTTCAGCACCACCTCGGGCATTAGATTGGTGCATTCGACCTCCAGCAGTTTATCGGCGAACACAAAGTGGCGGCGCCAGAACTGCAACAGGTTGCTCTTAAGCGCGCAGGCCGGCGGACCAAAGTCGTAGAAGCCGCCCACGCCACCGTAGATCTCAAAGCTAGGCACAACGAACATTTTGCGCAACAGCAGGTCGTCCAGCGCCTTCTTGTCGCTCTTGCTAAGTCCGTCCTCGGCCGGACCCTGCAGGGCCGTCTGAGTCTCCAGCTCCAGCTTAAGCTTCTTGAGCTCGTCCACGGCCGCCTTCACATCCTCAGCCGCCGCGCCCTTCTGCTTGAGCTCGCGCACCTGAGCGCCCTGACGCGTCACGGACGCACGCAGCGCGTCCAGGTCTACCACTGGCGTCGATGACATGGGAAGATCTCGCCTCCTAACTTAAAGTTTGTATAGTGCGAGCCCAACGCAAGACCCAACCAGTCAAAAATGATACGTAGCCAAAGGAATTTTCCGTGGGTGTGGTGTGCGACACACGAATGTTGGGTGGGCAACATGAGAAACAAAATGCTGTATGAGAGTGTTGAAGCTGTCGTTTCGGCCTTTTTATAAGAACGGACACAGAAAGGCAGCAAGGAGAGGGGACCTGCCTTGTTGCCGACATGGCATTCACATCGTTTTCGCCCAGCCGTCGTCGCCAGTGAACTCCGACACAAATGGTTTGTGGCGTTTGATAATTTGGGCTCACATCGCAACTTGCCTCGTGGAGCTCAAGCGGCCTAAGCAGACAAACACTCTCAACTCACGACTACGATGCTACGCCAGGCCACCGCGCGACTGCCGAAACCGGCCGCCGCCATGGCCCGCAGCAGCTTGAAGCGCTCGGCCGCCGTGGCGCTCTCGTCGTCGGCCTCGCCCCGGCCTTCATCGACCGCGCCCACGGCAGCTGTGGCGTCCGTCGCCGCGCACGACCACTCGACGCTGAACCAGAGCAAGCAGACGTCGCTGGCCGACGAATTCCACGACACTGAGCGCATCTTCGCCACCAAGACGACGCCTGAGCTCGTTCGCGCCTACGGTGTCTACTTTATGTCGCAGTTCCGCCCCCTCGTGCAGCACAGCGGCGAGCTACTCGAACTCTCGTACAAGTTCCCGGGCGCCAAGTTTACCGACGCGCTTCTGCGCGCGACGTTCTTCGGCCATTTCTGCGCTGGCCAGGATGTGAACGAGATCCGTCCCGTCATCCGGAAGCTCGAGTCGGCCGGCATCGGCGCCATCCTCGACTTCGCGGCCGAAGCCGACGTCGAGCAGCCGCGTGACCTCAATGGCGTTGACCAGAACTTGGTATCGGCCCGTACCTACGCATACGACGGCGAGGCGGCCTGTGACGCCAACGCCGCCATCTCGCGCCACGCCATCATTGACGCCAGCGAGGCCGCCTCGGCCGGCGAACCCGCCTTCGTGGCCATCAAGTGCACGGCGCTGGGCAAGCCTGAGCTACTCATGCGCATGTCGGCCATCATCGTGCAGGCCCAGCTGCTGTTCCACACGCTGGACGGCCCCAACCTTTCGCGGGCCAAGTCGCGTTACCTCGAGCGTATGATCGACTACCCTACGCTGAGCGCCGGCCTTCGCAACGCTGGCGTGGACGCTACCGAGGAGGAGATCCAGAAGCTCTTCAATGAGCTTGACCAGTCGTCTGGCGACGGAGTCATTGACTACGTGGATTGGGTGAGTTTCCTGGACCCGTTCGACTTGACCATGGGCCCTTTGACCCAGTTCATCGAGGAGGAGCCGCTCTCGGATAACGAGAAGACTCAGCTGCGCAACATGATTGGCCGTCTCGAGTCGCTGGCTAATGACGCGGCCGAACGTGGCGTGAAGCTGATGGTCGACGCCGAGCAGACGTACATGCAGCCGGCCATCGATCACCTCACGCTCAACCTGCAGCGTAAGTACAATCGTGACGGCGCCGACGTCATCTACAACACCTTCCAATGCTACCTCAAGATGTCGAGCGATCGCATCGACATTGATCTGGAACGTGCTCGTCGTGAGAAGTTCCGCTTCGCGGCTAAGCTGGTGCGTGGCGCCTACATGGTGCAGGAACGCAAGCGTGCTCGCGACAAGGGATACGCCGACCCGATCCACGACACTATTGAGGACACTCACGTTAACTACGATGCTCAGGTAACCAAGCTGCTGCACAACAACCACCTGGCCAGCTTCATGGTGGCCTCACACAATGAAAAGTCCGTGGTGAACACGGTGCAGCAGATGCAGGACATTGGCATCAGTCGTGCTACTGGTGGCGTGTACTTCGGCCAGCTATTGGGCATGTGTGACCACGTGTCGTACACACTTGGCGCGAATGCTTACAAGGTGTTCAAGTACGTGCCGTACGGCCCCATTCACGAGGTGCTGCCGTACCTCATCCGTCGTGCACAGGAGAACTCGGGTCTTATGAGCGGTGCGCAGCTGGAGATGCGTATGCTGAGCACGGAGATCAAACGCCGCATGTTCGGATGAGCGTGAGATCAGGAACGTGTGAGTTTGCAGTTCAGCCTTGCAATAAGGCTGACAAGTGTTTGTCCTATCGTATTGACGCTTCTCCCGCCTCGAGCTTCCGTCGAGTGGAGAACGTAGAAGCAGTAAATGGCGGATGATATGAGCCAAGAAATCCGCCACAGTTGGCGATTGAAGCGGAACAAGTTAACTTGGTGAAATGCCAAGGAGGTGGAAGGAAGTGCGAAGTCCTGCACTCATAAGAGGCAGTAACCCATGCTGGCGTTGGAAGCCAGAGCCGTAAGAGAGAAATGCATAATCGGTATCAAGAATCCGTAACCCAGAACAATCCAAATCGATGCAGATAACATTCAACCATTACATGTACTTGTGTCCAATTGCACATGCGATGTTCGAGAAGAGAACAAATTGTTCTCGAATATCCATGGATAATGCTGTATCGCAGACATCGATTGCAATTAGCGACTATCTTCAACTAAGAGCTGAACACTAATGGTAATGGCCTCACCAGTTCCAGCAATGTGCGTCTCGTAAATGCCAGTGGACGAACTCGGCTGAGCAAC